GTCAAAACTACAATCGTTAGGCTCAAATTTGGTTTGATAGGCATTCAAAACGAACATCATTTTTGTGTTCGCAGCAAACTGTTTTCTTGCTTTTTTATATTAGACATTCTTTTTTTTATTAGTGCAAAAGGTGCAATACCGCCTTTTCTTTGCTGGAGGTTCTTCTTCGTTATCTGTATCGTTATGTACAACCGGTTTCGGAAGAATATTAGCGATATTATATCTCACATGCTTTGGCAAAGTAGGAGCTTCCAGTCTTTCCTACATCCACGATTCAGATAACTGGGCTCTTAAGTTTTTCATATAACCCCTTCTATTTAGAGGCTTTTCATTTTTAGCAAGAATGTTGTGACAATATATAACATAAGAATTGACGAATGCTATGTTCAGAATGCCATAAAACATACACATTGGCCATCTATTGGTTTTCCTCGAACACGACATTGAAGAACACATTTGGTCGAAATTCCAGTGAGCTCTGAAGATACAGATGGACTTATATCGTCTTCATTTTGTGTATCATTCAATTGTTGTGGCACCTCATCGTCTATAAACTCGTCTTCGAAATCACTCTGTATGTCATCTTCGCTCAAATTATCTTCTGTCTCACTGTCACTTCCTTGCTCCCGTTCATGCTCGTTCTCTTCCTCTTCAGCGATAAACCTATGTATTGCATCATCAGAAAGTGTCCTCCGGCTCGTTATAATGAAAGTGAAAAGATTTTCTACTAAAAACAATGAAATAAACAGTTATAATAAACATTTAATGTAAGTATAAACAAGTTCATACTTTTACTAAAAGTCACACAAAAGATAACCATGCGCCTTTGGAGCGCAACACTTAGTAATAACTGCAAAACTATGGTACTTACCGCGTAAAAACGGCCGTCCCGCGACTCAGTGCACCGACCACTGAGCTAACTTAAAAGGACAGGTAGATACGCGCGCTCATTAGAAAAATACAGCGATGTTAAACCGACGCGGGCGCCTCTGAAGCGTAGGTTATCTTTCTAGGGTTAAGTAACATTCACATCTAGCTATCTTGAATTAAATCTCGAGTTGTAAATAGTCTAGTGGAATACTAGTCACCATATTTTTCATGACTAATAAAACATCAAGTGCTTCATGAAAACGTTTATTTAAGAGCTTGCAACATCATAAGCTATTAATTAGAACTACATACATAATTAATAACATACATATTATATAATAATCTTAATAAAAAATTAATCATCTTCAGCTTTTTCAGAACTCTTCTTATTCAACAGGTAGTGAAAATGTTCAGGTGTTTTAAAGTAGTTCTCTAATATGATTCCATGCTTATTACCAAGATCAAACCTAGCATCGCCCCAGGAGACTATGAATGTAGGACTTAACTTTTTGAAATGTTTCAAGTGAAACTTGTGTGTTTTTATACTATTGAAGAAGTGCCCTCTGAAAACCGCCAAATATTCGTCACCATCCTGATACATTCTGATAACATACTTTGATAATAATACTTTTATAGCAATATGTAGTGCAATGAAGGATCCAAGGTAAACTAAGCACTCGACTGGACTATTGGCTATCACTACATTGTCTCCGATTACCACTGGGTTGTACATATCCGCTTTGTCGAATACAAAAGCAGCATAGTACAGAGCGCTGGCTCCAATTATACCCGTTGATACGGTTAAGTAAGAAGATGCATATTTAAGTGCAGTGTCCATAGGAGCTTTGTATATCAACTGCCACCGTTTAGATATTCCATCTCTTTCTCTCCACATCTTTTGGGTCTCCATGTAGCGAACTGGAGCATTTGAGGCATATCTGGCCAATGTTGTATGAAGCCCGCGAAATGTTTGTTGTTCGGCTAGTCGGAGTAATCGCAAGCAATTCATTCTTCTTGTTTTATTTTATTTAATGCAAAGCTAATATTTTTATGGTAAATCTTAACTTTATTCACTCATATTTTCTTTCAAAGAGCACAATATTTACTCCGTAGTCGGTTGATTTGTTTGTATTTTTGAGGTTATATTTTGATGTGACACTTGAACAAACAGCTGATTGTGACATTTTATGTTTCGTTCAATAACCATCAATACATAGTATAAAACAAAGTCGCTTTCGCTGTATGTCCGTATGTATGCTTAGATCTTTAAAACTACGCAACGGATTTTGATGCGGTTTTTTTTAATAGATAGAGTGATTCTTAAGGAAGGTTTGTATGTATTATAATACATGCATATTGCACCCGTGCGAAGCCGGGGGGGTCGCTAGTATAAAATAATAAAAAATAGTGTTCATGAACTTCGTCAGTTTTATTTCATTTGATTTGCTTGCTTGCTATTTGATAACATGGGTTAGTTATGGAAATATATCAGAGTTAAATAAAAAAATAGAGTTTAAATGTTTAGAGTATAATTTATTAAATCATATTAGAAATAACTTAAATATTTGATTCACGGAAAACAATACTTAATGACAGTCAGTATTTATACAAAATCGTGCATAATTAATTATGTATAGGAAACTTAAAATATGTGAATAAATTATAAGTATCCCGTAAAATAAAATCAACATACACATAATTATTTAAAAAACAACAAGTTACAAAAGTTATACAATAGTGTTGTGATAGTTATAAATATTACAACTGTTAAATAATATAGGTAATTAACAATTATGAAAGTAATAGTTAAGTAACATGAATTTAAAAACTCCGAGTTCCATTAGTACCAAATTATTTTCTAGGTCTGGACCTATACACTATACCCATACTGCTGGCAGTATACACTGATGATAATAATTATACACTAGACAACAAATAATTACACTGAGGTACTATTTCTTAACATTGTTTACACTTAAAATAATGGACTGTTGATGAATAACACAAACTTATTCTCTATCGCACCTTTCGTACCAGGACTGGAGTCCCGACATTTTTAACGTCAAAATTCAGTCGCTAAAACCAAGTCTATCTCTTCATTAGATTGTCAACCATATCCTTTAGTAACAAAGTAAAAAATCTAGAATACAATTTCTGTCATAGCGACCAATTTCTGTCGTAATCACTGTCGAGACTGTCAGCCCCGGTTGAAAGGGCAAAAGTCAAAAAATATAATATGCAGAATTCTGCACAAAACTCTTAAAAATTGCCACATAATCATAATACACATCTTGATACAAAATCTTGAGACTAGTTGTGATTACATTACATTCTATATAATATTTCTATTTGAACCAATACATTACTATTTCTACCAGTATTGGAATATTGCATTACATAATATTATAACAAACCTATAATAATACACACAGCCAAGGCAGGTATATTTAATCTGGGTTAACTAGGTTTGTCAAAAACTATATCTCTATCTATTTTTAGTTTTTACTTACGATTAAGTATAATATATTAATAAATCTGTGACATAAATATATCTTCAGATAAAAGTCAATTCATATTAGCGCAGAGTAGAACCATTGATTTAAAAATATAGCAAATTGAACTTTATTTCAGCAAAGTAATGCACATAATTATTCAACTTCACGCTACTATGGATTTACGCTTCTATGTATATATATTCCATTAAAATAATAATTTCACACGTTATGGTTTCGACGTTATGAGATCGATGTAAATTCTAAATTTGTGTATATTTTTGTTTATAACACACTTTTTTAAGATTAGAACACATGGATTATTAAGTATCTAAACTAAAATACATAAGATATTAAAATCTAACATATAGGTATTTTCTGCAGATGCCTAGATACGTTCATTCCGCTCACTGGTAATAGCGCCACTGCAGTAAACAGTCCCTTAAGACTAATTACTCTCAAAAATATTTTCCCCAATGTAGGTTATAGGACTTAATGCTACATAACCACTGCCAGTGACACGGAAGTTAAATTAAAATAAGTGTCATGAATAAAAACGATTTATTTATACATAGTAAGGACGTATGGACGTAACATAATAGTAAACATAAACACTGGTTCAACATTTACGCATAATCATTTTGATTGGACAGCCAATCCACCAATCAGGCGTTTGAGAGAACAAAATACTGAATTTGAAACTATAAAATCACGTTGAACTTATAGTATTATTGCTTTCTTTTTCCTCAAAAGTATTTTTACTACGAGGCCTTTTAGCCGGGCTGTCTTTAGAGTTTTCGTACTTAGAGAATAAGTACTGAGCAAATAAGTCATCTTTGCCTACATCTACTTTTTGTGGCACATTCTGATTTTTTGAATAATTTGATATCCTATTGCTAGAGTTTTGTAAGAGATTGATATCAATATTTTCATTGTTTGTTTTGTAGTAAGTTGAAGTGTTCTCACGTTTCTCTTCTTGTTGAACTGTAGGGTCGTTTGTAGGTTTCCTGAGGCTTTCTGGTAAGGCGTCAGATTTTAACTTTACTAGTGTTGTGTTGACGACTGAACAATCGATCTGCATCAGCGTTACGTGGTCGTTCATTAAAGAATCTGAAATTAACAAGAAAAATACTTTTATAACAAACTTAAGTATCTTAGTTTAAAGTAAAAATTTATTTATGTTGCCAGCTTAGCGTGAAGCATTTCTATTCAAAAATATCAATAAAAATGAATTAAAATACAAGATTAAGAAAATGTTTAAAATAACACCTTGAACTTACCATTACCACTTCTAGCAGGCAAGATCAGAGCCATCTTCGGCGGCCTAGTGACATTGTGTGAGACGGCTGGTAACAACAAATGCTCTCCTTTACCAAAGCCTACAATGTAGAACGTGTCGTCCCGCCTATGTAAGGCTTCAAGTAAGGCATTCCACTCTCCCAAGTCATCCATATTGAAATCATTGACCGCTTTTCTCATTGGCTTACGGTAAAGAGTTTCGTAGTCTATAACTGCGTTTTCTGCAAAGTCTATGTCTTTATTCCTCCTAAGACGACGTAACCGCGACTTGTCCTTGACGGTCTTTGCGTGATTTCTTATACTAGGAAAGTCCATTAAGTTGTTTTCCAAATGCAGTTTGTTGAACAGCCTGTAGCTTTCTAATAAACCACCTGTAAATTAAAACATGTAGGTATGCTATATTTTGTAATGACATTGAATAATTATCATACTACTTTTCCTGTTTTTTTAACATCAAATAAGTCCAAAGGAAAATCATGACTAACATTTACCACAAAATCACATGACGTATGCAATTTTCCCTTAGTGTTATCCAATAGAGTAGCAGGCAACCACAATAATACATAGGGTCAAATTCGAAGTCACTAAACGTTTCTGAAATGTTCAACGTCGATACATCGAACCTCTCTTAGACTAAGCATTGACGCGATCTTCTTCCGCCCCTGCCGCGGAATGGAGGCGGAATTTTCAAAAGAGACCGCAGTTTTCAGCGATCCCGCAGCCGCCGTGGTTGCGATTATCGCCCGCAAACTAGGCGGTTGATTATTGCAAGACGGGTGGTCGGTTAAACAATCAGTTGAGTTCAAGACCGACCGTCCCATTGTGATCACCCGCCGACCGATCGCAGAGCCCGCCGGTGCAGCGGAAGCTTTTTTTACATACATATAATTATGTATTCTACAAAGCCTGCGGGCCCACAACCGTGGCGGGTGCGGGAGAAAATCGCGCCAAAGGTCCTTAGCCTCACAGTACTAATCAAACAAATATTCAAACACATTTTAACGAGTTCTGGAACACTTACCATTAATTTTCTCATCACTAAGATAAGCCTGTCGTTTCTTCCGTGGAACATCATACGTCCAGTTTAGCGTCTTCCCGCCGCCGATCCAACGCTTCAGTTCGCCCGCTATCCGTATGCTCTCCGTCTGGTTGATGTTCACGAAGTCTGTAGCTTTCACTGTCGAATTCTGACAGTCTGTTACGTATGTACCGTTTGTTAAGTCATCTGGAAGCATGTTTTAGTATGTTAAAAGGATTGTAACGCAGAATTCGTGTTCAGCAAATGAGTTGGAGACTTATTTTGTGGGCAATAATTGTAATATCAACATTTTTTTAAATCAATCTTTAAAATTTTGATCTTTATTGTCTAATATGAAGTTCTGATACGTATATTTAATTACATTTCAAGTTAGTATTTTAAGTGTTCTTTACGAAACTTTTGATAGCATAAAATATTATTCAAATTTTATTCTATTTCTTCTCTTTGAGTATGAATATGTTTAATCAGGTTTATAATTCCAAAATTGTTTAATAATAACAGAAATACCTTAATAAAAAGGATTACGATTTGTGAAGGTGAAAAAACAGTCAACAGCCTTGACGATATACCACCGGATTTTCCAGTTGGCTTAGCATAGAAACAAAAAAATCAATACATTCAATTCTATGCACGTTTAACATTTATAAAGGTCAAATACAATTCATTGTATGTTGTTTTTCATAACGAGCATAATGACAACTATCTTAAGGTTTAATTTACTTTAATGGCTGTGATTATCGTGCATTATTATGAGCTAACAGTCATAGAGATATTTTCTAGTTTAGGACGTAATGCATTCTATTACCTATTACTTATGTAGCATCATAAAACGCTGACTTATTGAAGGCCTGTTCCACTAATTTATCTTAGCAATAAAATTACAATGACCATTAAGTATATCGCTTTTTATTGACACATAAGCAGTGAAACAGACCCTTAAGTGATAAATAATGAAAGGGATAAGGGTACACACCATTTACAATATCTACAGCGGTGTCCTCTGACCATAGTAAATGCCTTGTGCTTCTGTGTGGAGCGGAGGGCCCGACAAAAGGCTTTGCGTTCCACCTTTTGTAAAAAAACAAACAATAATAATATGTTAGAACAGCGATGGAATATGAATAATGTATTCAAACCTGGTAAAGTAAATAAATTAGTTACAAAAATTAAATAATTAATTTACACCTATTGGTATCAAAAATGTAAATAAGTTATTAGATCTTATTTATTTTATAACTTGCGTGAGGCATACTAAATTAATTATGTTTTTCGGCTTACCCACGTAATTATTTGACGAGGAATTAGACTAGTTTCAAGCGATGCTAGAGGCTCATATTCAGGAGCAGCGTTCCGCGACCCGCGACGCGGTAACTGTCAGTAAAACTAGTCGAGTTCCTCGTCAAATAATTACGTGTGTTAGCAGAAAAACATAATAATTCATTATTAGATCTTGTAATAAAATATTTGTTATAGAAGTAATTAACAGTTATTAGTATAATGTGTTGTGTAACTAAATTCTTGAGGAAGTCAAATTACGTTGGTTAGAAGAGGATGGGCAAAGTTTCTGCTTATCTTAATGTATGTACAATAACAAATGTTATATGGTTCGTCGAACTTTGGAATAAACATTGTCGTGTTAATTCATTAATTAAACATGATTTTGAACCTTATTCTAAACGCTTATGGCAAAAAATGCCAACAGTATAACACAAGTAACATTTTCCTTACCCTAGAACATTCCAGTTTAACGATACCATGAAGACCATAGCAAATATAACAGCTATGTTCTTCTTCGGTATTAGCAGGGAAGCGTCGAGTCGCGGCATCTGTTACAATATTTACCAGGTGTTAATACAATTTAGGTAATAAGTTTATAGGTAATGTTTTAATAGTATGTACAAACTGTGGTGTAAACGAGGTCAGCTTAACACGCAACACCTGTACACTCTAACGTAAATTAAGACTTTTGTAGTAGACAGTATAAAACGGAACTGATTAAAGAAAAAACAAACTTTATTTTTAAGGATGTCCAGAGCAAGGACGTTGAAAAAAGGAGGACATAATGTCACTCAGACATGATTAAAGCACAAAAATGGTTCTTTTATGTGTGCGTGTGTAATTTATTTCAATTAAATAGTATAACATTACAGTCATAAAATCAAGGCGTTATACATTTCAAATAATTAATGTAATTCATTTATTAATAATTAATTAATTAAGTAACGAGTTACCACGTTACCAGACTTTTTTAAGGGGGGAAAATCATCGAATTACTGCTCCCGCCTGGGTGAGCCGGGAGGGAGTGTCAGACTCTTACTGACTAAAAAGTCAGAAGGAACTGGGTTGCCGTTCCTTCTCCCGCACGTCGAGCCGGAGCTCCGGTTACCCGTTAGGTTCTCCGCGACACGTTACCAGACTTAAGAAAATGCCAGATGTTTTATGTGATATGTTCTGCATGTAACTCAATAGTACCCAGGTGAAACAGTCGTTGTTTCAAGATACTGTGTCCGCCTGTTTTTCAACGTCCTTGGTCCAGATTTAATACTCGTCATAAATAAATTGGAGAATAGAAAACGATATCAAACATTATTTTCCATTCTTCACTATAGGTAATAAATATACACATTTACAGTACGATTTCATATTTCTTGATGCACGAACATAATAAGTATCAGCGAGTTTTTCGATTTACAGAATAATTACAAGCTCAGTATTACCTTTCGACTCCTCCCACCCGTTTCAAGTTGGTCCCTAAGCAGTTTATTCTCTAGTCGCAACCTGGCGATCTCTTGCTGTGCTTCAAACAATTTCTGTTCTAACGCAGTCACGTATTCTTTCTTCTTCTGCCGGGATTGGCATGCTGATTCCCTGTCGAACAGACAAAAGATATAGTATTGCACCAGTTGAGGTAAAATAGACCCTATTGTTAGCACAACAAAGGTTATTAATGTTGAATAAAAATTAACATGGCGTCATTATTTTACACATACATACGTTGCAGTTTAAACTTTATATCAATGACATAAAACTTTATTTCGAATATTAGTTTCTAATCGGAATGTCTTTGAACGTTAGGTACCATGTAGAATGTAGATATGTAAATTAAAATTCAGTCTGTTAGTACAATTTCGATAACAACTAGTTGACAGTAAAATTGTGATAATTCAAAGGCAAAGGAAGTTTTAAAAGACCTTACACTTTTATATCTTTTGCTTACTTATTAATTTAAATATGCTACTTAAAGTTATTTTCTAATAGAGAGTAAACCAAGTAGGTACTAATAAAAAACAGTTAAAAAATCTTCCACAAGAAAAAATCAAACTAAAGATGATTGCAACGATGACATATACACAACCACTAGATCAAAGAGGTATCGTCTCTGGATCTCCATATTTGCATTTGTAGGAATATTAGAATACGTTCACTTCTGGCGAATGCGCCGCAAGTGTGCCGCTCGTGAGCCGTTTGCGGACTGCCCGCGAGCGCGTGCGCTTGCAGTCACAGTAATGGTTTGGTGCTCGACTCATAGAATGTTCGTACAAATAATCATTTTAAATTAAACGCAAATGTAGACGCACTCTTATATGCTTGTTTATTTAACATTCTTACCTATTCTTAATCATCCTCTGTTGTTTCTTGATAGCTTTGATCTCAGCTTCACTGAAGTTGGAGAGGTCTATCGTGGGACTGTTTGAACCCTCACTGTCAGCGTAAGGAGGTATCACATGGTTTTGTACTATCTGTGGAGTGGTGCCATTGGTGGACACTGTCAGTTTAGGGTTGATCACTATGTTGCTTCTTGGTGATGTTACCTGTGACATAAATAATTAGTTAGGTATATTCTTAGCTTCGTTGGAAAGAATGCCATGTCTCTGGCTGTTTAAATGGTTTTTATTTAATTTACACTACTAGATAGTCTCTTGATTTTTGAAGAAGCTTTAGGTAAATGTAAGATTTTTAAAGATTTGAATATTGCAGCTGGAGCTGCAGGTGAAAGTTAGTTATTGGGCAAATGGGCAATAAAAAAAATATGAGAAAGAAAACTTATTAAACAATTCAACATCATGCGTAATTGGCCATTACAATTCCGATTAAGATATATTTATGAAGCAAGTAAAACACGTGAATTTATTTCTGCAAATAGGCTACAAGGCAGCACTTTTACAAGTAAATTTTTTAAGCGAACGATGAAGTCGATATTTCCCAACTGATTTTAATTGATTGCCCATTTAATAACGTCTTTGAATTGCCGGTTGAAAACTAACAAACAATTATGAAAGTTACGAAGGCTACAAGGTAATATAGGTACGAAGTTAGAGACCTGAGGAAAAATTTCGATAACGGTAGTACCTGCAAACAGTGTTCAAACACATATAGATAGTGCATTATTACGCGAATTGTTTACTTGTCTTAAATTTTTTTGGCTAAACGTGTAAAGTGCTGGCATGAATTCAAACGTCGGTATCTGGTTCACATCACTTTGTTATGAAATACTTGTATTGTTAATTATTTCACATAGCCTTAATCTTATATTAAAGAAAAGGTTGAATATCACATCGTTTAGGTTTGGTAACAAAATGTGTCTTGCTCCAAATTGACATAGATTAGCATAATCATTTGCATATGCATATGTCATATATGATTAAATTGATTAAACAAATCATATGAAACGATAGTAGCAGTATTATAGAAATATTAAAATAAATTTTCACAAGTAACAATACTAACCTGAACTTGACTATCCTTGGCACCATTAAACTTGGTTTGTGTCAGTGGCGATATGGCAATCTTCCCACCCATTGTGCTGTCTGCCGGGATTATAATACTGGGTGGCTTCGTGGTCACAGTGGAATGCCTTTTCAAAATACTAGGCACCTTCTTATGTTCCACTATCAACTGAATCTGACCATTCACAGCGATCTTATTGTCAGTTGGAGAATTATTCGTGTTCTCATTCACCACTTTGAAGTAAGAATTTTGATGGTAACCATTATCTAAAACAAATATATTTATTAGTACGTGTTAAAACGTTACACACAAAAAATATGTATTTGATTTTCAAGACTCAGGCAGAAACCTTAAATCACTTATTCCATGCAAATTACATGAATTGCCTAGTTTTACTTGAATAATAGTAGAGTATTTAATGTATTTATGTACCCAGTAAATAATAGTCCCCAACTTAGCAACAGCTAATAACAGGTACAGATGACTGTAAAAATGCCATGTTGATAAGTTATAAATCACGACACATAGCGACAAGCTCGTAAAAGTCATTACATGGGATGTCATGCGTGGAATGTCGAATGAACGACCCTTGTTATAAATGTATAAGTAGCAAATATACGTCATTTTCACTTTCATTGGTACCATATTAACACAAATATTACACCTATAACATTGTTAAAGAAAATCAGTAACTGCAATATGATCCTATCATGCTTCTATAACTTTCAACATATTCACGCCACTGGACATACACAGCCAAAAATTACAGAAAATGCTGTTTCTTTTTTTTGTGTATAAGCCAGTAAACGAGCAGACGGATCGCTCATTGACATCGGTAACATCAGGAGCGTTTTTTTTTAAGGGGGGGAAATCATCAAATGACTGCTCCCGCCTGGGTGAGGCGGAAGGGAGTGTCAGACTCTTACTGACTAAAAACCACCCTGTTCCTTCTCCTGCACGTCGAGCCGGAGCCCCGGTTACCCGTTAGGTTCTCCGCAACTCCGAATCGGCATCGGCCGTCTTGGACCCCATCTGTGGTGGTCTGATGGCTCTTTGAGGCGCGCGCGGAACGCGACGCGCCGTACGCTCGAGTTTGTTTCTGGTCGGACGGGGGAGCCACCCATGCTCGCCGTCCGCAGGCCCGCGCAACATCAGGAGCGTTACAAGCGCGTTACCGGCCTTTTGGGGACTAGGAATTTGAGGATTATTGAGGATTTAGGGATTGGGGAGGGGGGTGTAATTATGCGTCCGGTAACCTCACTCACACGACGAAACACAACGCAAGCGTTGTTTCTCGTCGTTTTGTGTGAGGCCGTGGTATCACTCCGGTCTAGCAGTCCCAATCGTGCCAAAGCATGGCTCTCCCACATTTAAACGACGATGAAAACCAGGTAGGAATCTAGAATTTAGAGTATTTAACTAATCTGGAAATCAAACACCATTTACCTCACAACGACTTTTGTCACTAAACCAACAAAACAGTTAACAAACAAAGATTAGATTAACTTAACTCATTTCTTCTATCTACCTACAAATATTTGTACAGCCAAAATGTTAACAAGTCATTGAACCTATTTGGATTAAAGTGATGCAATAGAATGCAATGAAAACTCACCTTTGTGTACCTTAGAATAAGAGTTCCTTATTTCACTATCACAGTCTTCAGTCTCCATTTTAATGCCCTGCAATTAAAGAGATTAGTAGATTATTTTGTTTTTATGCAAACAAGTAAAATTTTACATACTTTTGTGGTGACTAATAATATAGTATGGGATAGTGTCATAGCAATAGGCTCACTCCCTATTACATGGGATTCTATATATGATAATGTTCATCTCTAACTATTATTGTATGTATTTTTATTTTAAAAAGTTGCATCTTCACATCACGCCTGTTATCCCCGAAGGGGTAGACAGACGTGCACATTACATTAAGCAAATAAATAAATAATACTTGCCCCGACCCGGGAATCGAACCTGACACCTTGCCCGGGAGTCGCACTTGCGACCACTCGGTCGATGAGGCAGTTTAAAAAGTTGCACTCTAGGAATTTTTTCCTGTATCGTGAGTGTGTTTACAGACATACAAGAACACATAAACATGACACTCAGACTCGGAACAACAATTTGAGGATCTCACAAAGAGTACCTCCATGCTGGAATCGAACTCACTACAAATTGTGCGGCAGCTGATTGCCAAGTCACCGCTCCAACCATGCACAGTCAATTTATATAGTTATATAAGTGAAAAACCAATACTAATCAAAGAATATCTTATATTTTTATAAATAAATAGTACCTTAATAACACCATTTTCAATAGCCATGACAGGTCCATTTCTCTCAGGAGATTTTCCATTTGTCAGTGCTTTGTGTAAAGGTGGGTTATCAGGACTGGGAGCTGTATATAAACATTTGAATGTTTAGTTGCAAATAATTAACTTGTGATTGCATAAACAAATACACATACAGATGACACATTCTGATAAGAAAAACACATATTAGAAAACAAGTTTAAGTTTACTAAGCTACTAACGAAAGCAAATTAAATATTTAATAGTACAACTTCAATAAGACTGAATGAATTATGGTCATATTAGAATGTCTTAGATATTATGACAAAAAAGAATCTTATTAGAATGTAAATAGAGTACAAAATGACATAGGTACATACCAGTTTTTTGTAGGAACAGTTCAATATCTTCAAGATTCAAGTTATTGGTAGGTTCCTCACTAAAATTAGTCCAATCAAAAGGTGATTGGGATGATTGTCTAGCTGATGTGCCACTGGAACTGCTAGAGAACAAATTATCAACTAAGTTTAAAAAGTCCTATATCATTGCACCAACATCATCATCATATTACCAACTGAATAATCAATGCATAGTATAAAACAAAGTCGCTTTCGCTGTATGACCGTATGTATGCTTAGATCTTTAAAACTACGCAACGGATTTTGATGCGTTTTTTTTTAATAGATAGAGTGATTCTTAAGGAAGGTTTATATGTATAATACATGCATATAGCACCCGTGCGAAGCCGGGGCGGGTCGCTAGTAAATAATATACAATAATAATACATAACATGTATGACAATTAATCCATGTATCAGATACCTCTTGGTCTCACAATAATGTGAACAGCTGGACCGATTTCACTAGATTATTTTTGTTGTTTTTTTTTATTGTCAGGAGAAGGTTGTTATGACAAAAAAATCCTACAGGAATGGGATAAACCAGGAGAGTGGGTACAAAGTTGCAGGCAGAAACTAGTTTGCAATAAGATTTCAAGTGGTATTTAACTAACAACGAATACCACATAACCATAAGCTAGGTAATTGTATTAGATTATTATCAGATCATTTACTCTAACCTTATAGGATCAATTTTATTACTCTAATAGTACTGAATAACATTATCCTTGGATAATTTACTATGATATAGAAATTATTGCCAGTTACCAAATTGAAATTCATTCATCATTCAATTAAAAAGTGAAAGTAACCATGTACTTTGCTCCAAAAATTATGTAAAGTCCAAAGTTTTCTGTGAAAGTGTCTGGAAACTTGATTCTGTCATTTCATACTTGATTGACCAAACTAAAGATAATTATAATATTTTTTATGACTTTTACTCGATGGTTTATTTTATGAACATACTTTCTTAACTGTGTTAATTGAATTAAGTACTAACTTTTTAGAATCATCTTCACTCCCAGAATCAGAATTGCTGCTGCCCTCTGATGACTTAATACTCAGAATTGGTGATATCGGTGGTACTAAGATAGGTGCAGCATCAGCCAGGATCTCGCTCGGCGAGGCATCCGTCGCATCCAACAGAGAAGACCATTTGTAGTCATTTGACAACAACTGTTCGAGAAAATCCTCACCTACAATAATAAAGTTATACAATTTATTTCGTGTAAAGTGCAAGTGACAGATCTTATCGCAAGTGATAAAAACATAGATATAATAACTTTTCTGACTTTACTACACTATAAAATTTGAACGCGTAATACAGACGGCGTTCATAACCGAGAAATCTTTGTTTGTTTACAATTAATTACGCACTATGAATTAAAACCGAAAGCGCATCCAAGGACACGTGCTAATACAAAATACGTTGAGGGGTCAATAACATGATTCAATGAAATAAAATTAGCAGCACATTGTTATTGTAAATTAGCCGGAGCAAACAATAAAACACAGAACTGAAAATTACCATATAAGTAGTCCTTATTCTCAATTAAAATATCTGCATCCATTGGAATAGAAGCACAAGACCCATTAATTTGTAATAACAATTATATTGCACTAAATTATTGCGTAGGTAAAACACATTGTTCACATACAATAACACGACGGCAATGATTAATATTTTTTATCTGTGAATATTTTAATCAATGTAGCTGGTGCATTTGAATACTAAACTCTAGAACCAGTAATATCTTATGATTACAGGAAAAAAATATTAATCTGTTTGTTAATATCAATTTTAGTTAATTTTCAATAACATATTACTTTATATGTCTTGTAAAATATAATGGAAAACAAAAACACAGTAAAAATATCTATATACCTCAAAATCTGTAAAATATTATTATTTATGAATTACGTTTCAGAATGAATCTCAATGACGCCCAGTAAATTCGTACGTTTCAGTTTTCATAACAAATCTAATAACAAAAGCAGGTTCTATATTTTACACAAAAAGTTTTGGATTAAAGTATTATTTTTACCTTTTATAACTTTAACGTCTCTGTTATTGTTTAAATATAAATAATACCTTTAATTTTCCCCTTTTTGGTTCAACGTTTGAACGGTTCTATTGGAAGAATGAAATGACACAGCTGATTCTCGAAAAATGGAACGTGTTGGATTTGACAGTTTTCTTCGGGCCGATTGATTTGTCGATTCTTGTTTCGATGTATTATTATAATATTTTTTACTCGATATTCTAGAATGAAAATATAATAACGATCGATTAATTTGTAAAGACTTATTGTTAAAGTTTTTACAAAAACTTAAAATGGGTGTGTGAATTTATCAAAGGCACCGGTTGCGAAAATGTCTGTCCCTGAAGATCAGGACGATTTCATATTTCGTCCACAGCAGCATTTAGATGCAAAATGGCTAAATCCTGATTTACAAGAAGCGCTTCATGATCCCGATGGCTTGTGCACTCTGTTCAATAGTCTTTTACAAGACAGAGAAATATATTTCGAGGCCGGAAACGGGCTCGTAAATAGTGCTGGTGCTACTTCTAAACTTGGTGACAGTGGAAAATATTACTGTGGTCTGAGGGTATGTATGATGGCTGATACATTCACATTTTAAATTTTAGATTTACAAAATTGTTTCCTATGTTTATGTTTTACCATAATTGGAATTAATACATTAGTACTAATTATTAGCTAATTAAGCACTAATAATAACATTTCATTTTTCCACTTAGATTCTAACTTGCACCTGTTGTGATGGTCTCTGTGGCCCACACTCTGGGTGCGCCTGCCCACCATGCAGCACTCTGTCAGCTGAGGAGGAGCTCAGAATCTCAATACGGTCCAAGCAAGTGGCACCACCTCCATCCCATCAGATAGTTGATGACCTAAAATGGAAACAAGACCCAGGTATGTTTTCATTTACAAAGATGTGTTGTAGAAATAACATCATCACTAGTTCCTTTGTTCTACTTAGTACTATTATACCTACCTAAATTGTTTTGTTGACCTCTTTTTTTTAACTTGTGTATCCAGGTCCAGAATGCCTGCAAAGTTTAATGGAGGCTTTGGTCTGGGAACAGCGAGTGAGAGCAATCAACACGGCTGTTAGTTGTCCATTCATATCTCAGATCCGTCGACTCATTGTGTTGTGCAATAGACATCTTGTAGCTGTTATTAGGTATTGTTATTTTGTTTTGTATGTTGTTAAAATATACTGTCATGTTTTTCTAGTACATCACCAAATGTTATTCAAATATTGACCTACAAAGATAAGACTTATCACCATGTCATAAGGTTTCATTTAAGACCTTATTATTAGCAAATTAAATTAGGGTACAGCTTCTGACTGATATCTTATTAAAAATATAATAACTTTCATTGTAGTTACATAAACATGACATGTTAATTTTTTGAAAAAAAAAATTATAAATTTACTTAAATCAAAATGAAACCTTTTTCCAGAGATCAAAGTCAGAACAAAGAGGTGAAAAGAGTGAAGATAGAAAGGAAGCCTCCTCATACAGTCAGTAACAGAGCATTGAGCAGTGTGGTTGGCACTCTGAATAAACCTGGAGAGGGTACTGACACCCAGGATGACACTGAGGAGCAGACAGATGACTCAGAGAGGTTTGTAACAGTTGAATTAAAAAAATATAAATATAACAATAATTTTATGTTCTTCATCATTGCGTTTTTGGTATGAAAATTTGTTAACTTTAATTTCACAGTAATTGCCTTGAGTGTAAGAACTTACTAGTAATTAGTAATAACCTATACAGATATGTAGGTGCAAGCCAGACAGGATGTTTCATAAACATGAACAAATTGTTTTTGTGTATAAATTAAGCATGAAGTAAACAGTCAATGTTATGTACCTACACAAAGGTTTCAACATTTTTTTAAATATTGTTTTTAGTAAGTGTAGGTGATATACACATCATCACGCCTTTTATCCCCGAAGGAGTAGGCAGAGGTGCACATTACGGCACTTAATGCCACTGGACAATGTAACATTCACTTTTCCATTAATTCCATTAATACTTGGCCTGACTCGGGAATCGAACCCGAGACCCCATGCCCGGCAGTCGCACTCCCGACCACTCGGCCAACGAGGCAGTAATCTCTGTGATAGCTATGGAAAATAATATGATGTCTAATATTAAAGGAACAAAGTATGAAACTAAAACCCTACTATTAAGCGCAAAGGATGGTTAGCCAATAAAACATAGTTTCTCAAACATAATAATTTGCCTTATTATATTTCACTAATCTATCCCTAACAGTGCTATTGGTCTCGCTCGAGTTGGTGCCCGCGCAGCTCTTCGCTTGGCATTATCCCTCGTCCGTCGCGCATGGCGTTGTGGTGAAGACGCGGATGTATGCTCCGCGCTACTCCGGGACGCTCTCGAAGCAGTTCGAGCGCTGCCCGATGCGGGATTGTTCGCTGGTACGGGGCCTACAACTACCCCAAGGTCACAGAAGATATGGGCCGAAGTTGTTGATAGTGCTGCCAAATTCCTGCATCAAGTTGTGGTTGGGTATGTGATTGTTATTGTTATTGTTATTAAAGTGTGGTTGAGTTACTCATACTTTTTTTTTTTTTATAAAACACAATAGAGGCAAATTATTTCATTTAGTGCATAAAAAGGACATATCTGCGACCTTTGCGTGTGTCGTACGTTGAACTCTGTTTGATTATTCAAAAGAACTGCACAACAATATGCAAATATAAATTGTTATAGTGTATTTTTTCTGGTTTTATTTTTTTTTCTATTTATAGCAGCTTTAGTATAGACAAAGAATATTAGGTGTAATACTTTTTTCTACCAACAGTGAAGTTGGATGTAATGTACCACAAGGCGACTGGCGGACCTCTCTTTGTGTGTGGGTAGAACTATGTGCGCGGAGAGCTGAACTGCCCGCTCTGTTGAAGGCTGCTGATGTTCTAGTCACTTTACCTCCAAAACAGAAGCGACACCCTGACAATAGGTAAGTATATTGTAGAAATCGTATAAAGCATCTCTATTTTTTATTTATATAATGGACTGTAAAGGTGCGTGTTAAACTAAGCCTACTTCCTTTGGGATTAAAAACTACTTTTTCTGAACGGCAGGCGTCTTGCTTAGACGTCACACGTGCGATTACTCTGTCATCTATGAAGTAGCTTTATAGAATTTCATAATATTCCGTTTTGTTTTTTGTTCTAGGATTGTTTTAGAAGAATGTACAGCACCATTAGGACCATTTCTAAGACGAATGGCAAAAGTAACAGCTCCAACTCCAATTATCAGCAATGAACCAACTACTGAACCCAATATTACGGAAATGTACCTCAAGTAAGTCGTACATACAAATAAGCGATAATCACCTTTATTGCATGCAAAATAAAGTTGCAAATCTGTCATCAATATTGTTCCAGAGAATCTAATACTCATAGAAGTCTGTTCTCCAATCGCCTTTATTGTATACGAAATAACGTTCCTAATCTAATGTATCGTTTCAGGGAGCTAAATATTCCTAGTGGTGATGGTTTGATGGGGGTGAGGAAGGCTGGTATTGCCTTACTATGTCATCTAGATAGGCTTGGAGCTCCTCTCCTTCCGCCTCAAAAGGGATTTGTTACTGTAAGTAAACAAATGATGGCTGATATTGTAATTTAATCACCCCTCAACCCTTAGAATACCACGTCAGTTATCGGTACCTGACGCTAGTGGTTTGAATCTCACCATTTCAAACTTGGCTGTTAAAGTGTTCAACTATTAAACAATGGTTTTTAATTCTTTTTAACTTTTCAGTGCACAGAATCGGCTCAAGAAGTAGTATCAGTTGGTTCAGGCTCTGTATATCTGGGTACACTACGAATCCAACAAATATCGTGTGCTGAGAAACTGGCCTTGCTACTGACGCAAGATGGTGCTGTGTATTCATTGCCTTACGATACTATGACACCGCAGTTAGTTCCAGGTTAGTGGACCATGCTATTTGTTTAATGTATTTCCATACTTTGGACATATTGTTGAGTTTCGATTTGTTGTGAAAAGTTGTCACCACTGAGGCATAGGACCATCTCAGTTATCTGTGATCAGAGCTGTGATATCACTTTTAGTGGGATTTGGGAGGTGGATGAAAGATGGCTTCACCTAAAACACTAGCATCTGATTACTGATGCTTTTTATGACGAGGGGAAACCTTCAAAAGGTGTCCAGCTTTTTAAAGAGAAAGACTAGATAGTGTGGGATATTTACCTCACTAAAACTAACCCTTTGACTATCCTCCGCACCAACCACGGGGCACCGGGGTCTGTAACTAATGCTTTGGCAGATTTGATTATTATATACTTTTTTTCTTACCAGGCCTAGAAAGTAAGACAATAACGCAAGTGTCCTGCCACCCTGCCGGGCGCCATTACTTGTGTCGTTCGTCGTGCGGCGGCGCGTGGTCGTGGGGCGCCGGCGACGACGGCCGGCTCGGCCACGGGGACACCGCGCCCAGGGACGCGCCCACGCATCTACACCACCTCGCGCATCATGAGATCGTTAGAGTCGCTGCTGGCGCTGCTTGCAGGTGCCTGGGACTATTACTTTGAACTAAACAACTACACTTGGGAGCTAAGAAACGCAGTCAATATCACTTTTTCCATCGAACCCTCTATAACTTGAAAACATGTTCGTTTCACAACAAAATACTCTCATTTCAAAGGTATAAATTGGCGACGTTA